TGGCCTCCTTTACCTTTAATAGAGGAGATTTTGTGGGTGCAGCTTGTGGAGATGAGAGAAGCTTTATGTGCTGAAATTATTCTGCCTCCCTTTATAAGGTCTACCTTACATTTGGGCGTTGTCTTTCTCTGCTTCTGAAAGAGCACACACATATTGGTAGTGCCAATAATGTGGACTTGAGATACAATCAGCATCTGCATCTCCACTATCCCTTGGAAGACGAGTTGTCTTGGAGATAGGCCGTGAGGTTGTATTCTGTTTGCGTAAGGATATGGGGCAACTTTGAACTTTCCTCCCTCCTCTTTCTGATTCCACTGTGCTTGCTGTTATGCAACCCGTGGAGTGGGCCTGCATAGTTCATAGAGGCATGCAGACTCCTGTTGCTGTATATTCATAAGCTGCACCAACAGAGATTGATTTGTGTAGGCAGACTTTGCCTGCAAACAGCCAAAGCCTCTTGAGAGTTGTGGTGTGGGCAGGAGTGCACACACACTGCGGAGGAGAGAAGGAGGGGAATTGAAAAACACACACTTTACAAACAGGAGATGTAAAGCTTGGTATTCCCTGGCTGCAAGGATCTAAAAATTCCACTTCACCATTGATACAACCACGCTCTCATTGCTCTGTTCCCACTTAGCTATTATCTATGTTAGAAGAATATCTGAAATAAGAGGAGAGAGCATAACAGGGACAGGCATCAATAGGGCTTCTGGTCTGTGGCTCTTGTTAGAATACCAGATTCCAGCATTTGGGTGTGGGCGAAGGGAGACACAGGAGGGGCATCTCACTCAGCTTGATATGAGCACTGAAATAAATAATAAACAGTTAACAGCACAAACTCCTCTGTGAAGCCTTGTAGAGCTTTGCCTTTGAGTTCCGTAGCGCCAATCCCAACGTTATAACAGCAGACGTGTTTACCATCTATACAGAAAATTCCTGAAGTGTGGTGAAGCTAGCCTCAAAACAACTTGAGATTTATGTTGATCATACGCTGGAGACACATGTAATGGCTGTGGGATTATTGATATGTATATGCTGTTTAGTTTGGAAATGCGCATCTCTCCACATGCTTGTCACACTCACACCTTACATTTGAAGCATGTTTGCACCGCTTGTTAAATTTGTACTACAATTCCCAGCATTCTTTGAGGGAAAGCAATGACTCCTAGCTTTCCCCCAAAGAATCCTGGGAATTGTAGTAGCGATTTAACAAACAAACAGTAATAGTTTGTCAAGGGTGCCGACAATTCGCAGCACCCATGGGAAACTTACAGTTCCCTGAATTCTTTACCATGACTGTTAAAATGGCTTGAGAGTACTTTAAATGTCTGTTGTGGGTGTGAATACTGTGTTTGCTGCAAGGAGCACGGATAAAAACATGGCAGACTTGCTTTGAAATGTTAAATGGGGCCTAGGAGCAACTAATCAAGTGAAGCGTGTCCATGTAATACCACTGTCTGAGCACCCTTGAAGGACCATAGCAATCTGTTTTCAGCAGCTGGTTAACTTGCAAGGAGCTAGTTTCTCCTGGACATTTGCCAAAGGCCTCACTCGAACACATTTTGGAAGCAAATCAAGACATTTCTGCTTGGGTTAAAATTGGCAACTGTGCGCGCATGCAGGGTGGTGTATTTAAAAACATGCTTAAAAAAAACAACACAGATTGGTACCCACTGAAAAACTCTGGGAGGGTGTAACGTACCAGCCCAAATACCTAACATAATGCATTTATTTTGACAAGCCAAGGGAGTTTTAAAGCATAAGGCCCACTGTGGTTGTCCTTGTTTGAGCTGTGCTCACAGTCCAACACAAAACACTTGTAGATAGTAGTGCAGAGTTGGCCTGACCTTTTATTTTAAACTTCTGTGCACCAGATTTTAGCAGGCAGTTACTTCTGGTGAGGTCAGTGTCTCCAGGTGTGTAGAAGTCTCCATCCTTGGACCTGATCTGTTTTACCATTAGTTTTTACTGTGGTAGAAATTACCAAGAACAAAAGACACACCTATTTCTTCGATTCTAAAGGGTGTATTGATTTGTTTTTATTTTACTGTTTCATTTGCTTATAAATGGCACAATCCCAGCCAATGCTGAGCACTTTAAAGCCTCATTGGTTTCACTGGAAAGAAAGTTAAGCGTCAGCCCTTGAAGCGATGTACAGAAGTTCATTTCGAATGTGCCTTTTTTTCTTTACATAGCATGCTTCTGTGTATTTTACACATAGAGGCAACTCGTCAGCCATTCATGATGTGGTACACGAACATTACTGTGGTTGGGTGTCTACTCTCGGGTACAAAATACTTCTGGTGATAGAAGCCGTGGCCCAAATTTAAAATGTATTCTTTTGTGAAAGCCCCGTGATATCTTTTCTCCCCGTTCTTTTAGTGAGCAAGATCGAACTTTTAAGGACCTGAGACTTGAGTTTAGATTCTGTTTTTAGCCTGATTCTCATCTGGATATGTGCTATGTGTGTCTTAAATAGTATCACACTTTGGAGTCGGGCTTCTCTTAGCTAAAATAAGTAGAGCATCAGAGATAGCTATAAATGTAATTGCTTTCCATGTAGACACAATTTAGTCTTTTAAGCTGCAATAGTCTTTAGTGGATGTCTATTCATTTCATTTAATCACCCCATAGCACTTAGAATCTTGTCCTGATAATGTCAGCACTATTTAATTACCACCATAAACACCATCCTGATACTCCTAACATAGGAAGCTGCCTTATACTGAGTCCATCTAGTTCACTATTGTCTTCACTGACTGGCAGCAGCTCTCCAAGGTTTTAGGCAGGAGCTTTTCCCAGTCCCACTTGGAGGCGCTGGGGATTGAACCAAGGGCCTTCTGCACACAAAGCTCTACCAGAGAACTAGAGTCCTTTGCCACAGTGAACAGAAACTAAGAACCTTATATAAGATGTGCAATAAAATGGGTGTTGGTAGTGGTTCCCTTGGGGACCACTGTAGCTTATTTTGCACGATATGTTTGTGGCCCATTGGTGATATGGTACAGCAGAAGCCTAATTCTGTAGTCAGACACACAGAATTAGACACACAGACACGCACAATACAGCAACCGCCAGTGTCTGGTCAGTGCTTTGATGGGAGACCACAGGGAACCCTGTGTGTGCTGCTTTCTTGGAAGGGAAGTGGGATATAAATGAGTAACTTCCTCTCTCCCACCCCATCCCAAAAACCCCTCCAACCAAATCAACCAAACTTGATCAGAGGATGCTGGTTGATGTGGGAAAGCTGTGTACAGTGGGCAAGACACTGTGTTGTCAGTTCTGCTAAACAATTGAGCTGGGGTTTTTTTTTGGCAGATTCAACATGGGAATGGGCATCCCCATGGCAGCTGTATTGTGCAGACAGCACTCACCCATTTTAAGCAATGCACCAACTGGCAATACTGAATTATTAAAATCACTGATGAAGTGGCAGCGGGAGAAGTGGCGGAGTAAAATTAATACAACCCAGTCCGACCCCATAGCTTGCTCAGCTGGAATAAGAATGTGCATCTTGAGAACTTGAGCAGTGTGCATAGTCAGTGAGCGGTAAGCTGTAAATTGCTATAGCGAGCATCTGAATTAATACTTGCATTCAGATCATCCTTTCCAAAAGATTGCATATTATTTATGATGCGCTGAGACTTGGATGCAGAGCCTCTATGCAGCTGAAAATAAAAAATTAATGGAACAGTATGAGCCAGACAATTCCTGCCTTACCAATGGCCCTCCTCCTGTTAATTTTACACAGTTGTGTCACAAGCAAAGAGCAAAATTGAAGGAGTACAAGAACCACAATGGCTGTTTGGTGGAGAGCTCTTGCAGGTTGAAGAGCATTACAGGCTACCAAAAAATGGAGAAGGCAAGAAACCTTAAGAGTCATGAGCCAGTGTAGAGATCAGTCAATTCTTTAAAAATCATTTCACATACTGACCCAGCCAAAAGTCACTGGCCCAGTTTGGATGATTATATGTTGGCTTAATAAGCCCAGATAAGCGCGAGACTTTTACCAGCAGCACATACTGTCTTCGTGCTGCTCCTTCCCTCTTCTCTTCTTGGTGCACTGCTGAAAGTCTTCAATGAACCATAGTTAATTGAGAACTATGGTTGGCAACAAACCTTGGCTTGTTCTGAACCTGGTAAACGTACTTTTTCCTGGTTTGACTGAAACAGGAAGCTATGATTAATAGCAGACTTCCAAGTTTAATTGTGGCATGTTGAGGAGGGAGGGAAGGGGCTGCATATGAATATCTCAGCTTATTTAGCCAAAATAAATAGTATATAAATATATGAGTGTTTGTGTGTGTGTAAGGACAGTTCTAAGCATACTACTAGGCAAGTGTCTTTCTTCACCACTCCAAACTGCTTATAATGAAAGGCAGTCTTCTTTTTATCTTGGCTTCTGACTTTAAAAACATTTTCTTATTTTGTGTGATTTGGATGCAGATTTGTAAACTAATTTATTGGTTGTGAAATCACCCACCCAAGTGATTCGCTAGGTATCGATCTGTGTTTAAAACTGATTTAACAGTCATTCCACAGCACAGAATTTGACGTAGTCATTAATTTCAAGTATTGTTCAATTGAATTTTCTGAGTGCTAAAGTCAAAATAGATTTTTGGATACAGCCCAAGTAAATATTTGACTGTTTTATATGACTAATACATACCTGTCCATCCTCCTTCATTGTAATCTTCTCTCTCTATTGTAGGCCCATGAACTTTTCTGCTTTAAAGACCTTGTAGAATGTCATACAGTAGAAACAGCACCACCCTATGCACTTGAGCTTCCACTGAGTTTTATCCCCAATCGGAGGATTGTAATCAAATACGTCCACTGTTCTATTATCTTACATTATTGTGGCATAATGTTTTGCAATTGGCTCTTAAGTCTTCATCTTCTGCACCATGCCTCTGAGTCTCCATTGGTAGCAATCTGTTCAAAACTATCATTTTGTTCATATTCAACAGAAGTAATAGTCTGTTCCCCTTTCTTTTTAGCCAAGAGGAGCTACCTGTCCATGATGCAGCAACAGAGAGGGTAAGTTCTTCATCTCTCACTTTAAATTACCAGTGATTGTTCTACTCAGTGCTGTACCACTGCCAAAGCTATATGTGGGCAGATCATTGAGCATATGAAGCTGTCTTGAGTCAGACCATGACTCAAGACTAGTGCTATCTGCTCTGATGGGTAGTGCTTCTTCCAGGTCTCAGGCAGTGATCATTGCCAGCCCTTCAGCCTGCGATTCTGTAACTTGTGACTGGGGATATTGGAGGTTGAAGCTGGTGCACAGAAGGTGACTTACACTGAAGCAGAACATTGGTTATACTGTGCTATGTACACCAGGGGTAGCAACGTGGTCTCCTCCAGATGTTGTTCTCCATCTCTGACTAGCATGGACAGTGGTCAAGGGCAGTGGTTGGGAGTTGCATAACAGCAATATCTGGAAGAGCACCACATTGGCTGCCTCTGGTACTCCTTTGTGTAACTGGCAGCGACTCTCTAGAGTTTCAGATGGGCATTCCCAGGGCTACCTGCAAATGCCAGTGATTGAACATGGTGCTTTCTGCAGGCAAAGTCTGTATTCCACCATTTGAGCTACACTGAGTTCTAACAGAAGACTGGGAAATTACTGTTTTCGCAGGGCAGACTTTGGTGCAATGGTGCCCCGAGCTAAGCCAAAATTTGGTGTCCCTTACCTAGCGCTGGTGCCATGCCAGGCTTTAGGAAGGAGGCATGAGGACTCTGGCAGAGTCCTAGAGCCCTCCCACCTCCTTCCCAGCTGGGCAAGTGCTAACTCGGCTTTGGGAAGGAGGCTGTAGGACTCTAGGACCCTGTCAGAGCCCTCACACTTCCTTCCCATAGCGAGGCAAGTGCTTATTGATTTATGTTGCACAATCTGCATGGTGTTTTGGCCCAAACCTTGTGTGCTGAAGACTTACTTGTGCCAACAAATTCCACCACCCTCTGTGCATTCCACAGATTACATCATGCTTAGACTTGGCGGCTGTGCTGCAACTGAGGCTGCTGTGAGTCAAATTTAGCCCTCTCTGTTAGATGTTCCTATTAAACCCATTCCCTTGTTCGTGAAATCTCTCAAAAGTGCCTCTCTTCCTCAGATGCGGCGAGCTACTTTTTCTGCCCTTGCGCTTGGTGATTATTTGGCATTGAGTGTCATCAAAAGAAGGCAGCTTATGTAGTCCCCATAGAGCTGTTAACACTCCTAGGATCAACTGAAAGGTCACTTGCCAAGAGGATGCTGAGCCCTGCTAGTCTGGGAAGGTGGAAGAGCCACTTGTGTTCTTTTTGCAGCTGTTTGCTGAGCTTCTACTTAATTAAACCTCTTTAAATTACACTTGGGTCTCTGCCTAGTCCAGGGTGCTCTCTAACTTAAATGCCCTCTGAAAACTTTTGCTCTTATCTGAAGATCCAGAAGCTATTTTCATCTAATGTATGGGAGAATGGAAAATAGGGCCTTTTGTTACTACTTTAAAAACTTTAGAAGAATTTAGGGCTGAATTTTGCATACTCCATAATTCCACCAGTATACCGTATTTTTTGCACCATAACACTCACTTTTTTCCTCCTAGAAAGTAAGGGGAAATATCTGTGCGTGTTATGGAGCGAATGCCTGCAGGTGGCAGGGGGGATCTGCTGCAGTCGTGAGCAGAGGATCCATGGTTCCCTTTCTTTCCCTCCTCTGTGGTTACAAAGCATGGATCCACATGGATCCTCAGGATTTTTGCATTGGGCTACTCCAAACTCACTGTCAGATCACATGTCTGTGGCCACAGCATGAACCACAAAAATCATATATCCACTATTTCGTTTAGAATATATATATTTTTTCCTCCTCTAAAAACTACGTGCGTGTTATGGTCTGGTGCGTGTTATAGAGCGAAAAATACGGTATCTTTTGTGTAGGTTTTAGCAGAGATTTTTGTCCTTGAATTTTTGTTTGCACACATTATTTGACTTTTACTTGACTTTCAGATGGAAATGATGATAATTTGTGGGTAGGAGCATTTTTCAGTAATTGCTGGGTTATTGCTACTTCTCTTTTTTGCATAATCTGTAATCTTATAGCCAATAATTTTAGGAAGGAGGAAATTGGGGTGTTAAATGTTGAAATCACAACTTACCAGCTAATCAGCATTTGCTCTAATTGTGCAGTGGAGTGTTTTGATAAACTGTAGAACATAAAAGTCAGGAGAAGGAGCTGATAACAAAGGCTAAGGACTGGTCTTCACAAAAAAGTTCAAGACGTGTGGCCAGAACTTCTCTTTTATGTATCAGGTACCCTCCAAAAGTAGGGATGCGGGTGGCGCTGTGGGTAAAACCTCAGCGCCTTGGACTTGCCGATCATCAGGTCGGTGGTTCGAATCCCCGCGGCGGGGTGCGCTCCCGTTGCTCGGTCCCAGCGCCTGCCAACCTAGCAGTTCGAAAGCACCCCCGGATGCAAGTAGATAAATAGGGACCGCTTACTAGCGGGAAGGTAAACAGCGTTTCCGTGTGCTGCGCTGGCTCGCCAGATGCAGCTTGTCACGCTGGCCATGTGACCCGGAAGTGTCTGCAGACAGCGCTGGCCCCCGGCCTCTTAAGTGAGATGGGCGCACAACCCTAGAGTCGGACAGACTGGCCCGTACGGGCAGGGGTACCTTTACCTTTTTACCCTCCAAAAACATAAAGATGGTGCATGTTCCCAGTGCTATGGTCACAACGTTATGAAGCCTTTTTGTACCAAAAACATGACCCAGAAATTGCAACTCAGCTCAACTCAAAGTAAAGTTTACAAGAAACCAGGGAAATGAGCTGCTTAAGCAAATCTGTACTCCTAACATCTATCTGCTTTTCACTTGTGGGTGGAATATCAACATTTCTGAAGTTTACTATGCTAGGACTACATAAGACTTCGGGGAACATCAGTGGAAAAGCTCTTTGGGACTATTTTTTATTTTATTTACAGGAGTGTTTATAAACTGCCAAGTAATAAGAAAAATATCATGGTGGTGCACCATAAAATTATTAAAACATCATAAGATTATAGAATAATAAAATAATAAAATACAGAATGACTAACACTGAACTGAGCAAATTCTCTAAAAACTATTGGCAGCCAGGGGATCAAAAAAATAAGGTTGTAGGTGTCTGCCTGATTTCAGTAGTAACGCTGTTCCAAAATACAGGTGTCACTGTAAGATCAGGGAGATCTCAGATTCACATATGCAAAGGAGAGAGCAGGGTACCAGAAGTCCATTATAGCTATGCTATACAGAAGCTGAAAAAGTAACTTTGTTCAAATGCTCAGGGAGCTATTGATAAATCTTTTTGAGTATAGTATCTCTCCAATTTTTAAGCCAGCGAAAAAACTGTCCCGAATAGCATATTTGGGAAGCATTGCTGCAGAAGCTAAAATTCAGTTGTTGCCCACAATTTATGATGCAGTCAACTAGCTGGGCAACAAAACTGTCACTAAAATGCATTGCTGCACATTTAGTTTCTTGCACATTCTCTTGTGGAAGTCAAGTGTGTGCAGTTTTCTCTGAGAGAAAATTAGTGGGAAGAATCTCTGCTTAACATAATATAAAGTTACTATGAAATTGTAGGGCTTCAGATAAGACTCTTCCTAAACACTGTTACAAAATGTTTTTGTTGGGTAGACTTTGCTTGATGAACGAATGCAAACCTTCCATAGGTATTTATCAGCAAAAGGAAAGATTATAGCATGCACAGTGGCTCTATTCCATTTAAATGTTGTGAAGTGGTCTTAAATTACTGTAATTATGTCTGTCTTTGGAATAACCTGTTGTTGCTTAGTATCTCTTTGCAGTGCAATGCTCTGATTAGGCTGCACAGTGGCATTTAAAATAAACTCCACATCTCCTATGGGTGTGGCAAAGTACAGAGCGGAGTACATAATTTTCATTGTAACTTTTACTGGTCAGAATCTGGAGGTTGTTATATGGGAGATAGTCAAAACTTTGTATGTACAGTCAAGTAGATATTTCTGGAGTGGGCAAGTTCAGGGTGAAACTGACTTATCTACACATTAGGTGGCTGTTGTAGGCATCAATCTGTCTTGGGAGACAATGGAGTGTGCCTTGGGGGTGAAGTCAAACCACTGTCTTAGCAGCACCAAAGTGATCTCCCAGGGTGCAAGCCTGGGCAGTATGTATGGAGGTCCTATGACAAGACCCCTCACTGATTTGGTCCAGAGGCAAGCAGGACAATATGTTTGGCACCAGCTGGGCTGCAGGAGAATTCTGTTTTTATTGCTTGTTGTATTAAAATTTGAATACCATTTGATTTTTTTTTTTAAATGCACAGCACATCAAAATTTCTAAACAGGCAGGAAACTAATTAAGTGGTCGGCCAAAACCAGTAGCAGCTTCCAAGTTATCCAGAAGAAAAATGCTTGGGGGCCATTCACTTAGAGCAGAAGCTTTGCAAGCAGAAGGTCCTAGGTCTGACCCTTGGCATCTCCAGCTAAAGGAATCAGGTGGCAGGTGCTGGGAAAGCCTTCTTCCTGAGGCCCCCAAGTGTCACTGCTGGCCAGAGGAAACAAGAGAAGACTAGCTGAGAAACAACCATGTGGTCACTGCCAGTTGAAGGCATATTGCAGGGGTCAGCAAACTTTTTCAGCAGGGGGCCGGTCCACTGTCCCTCAGACCTTGTGGGGGGGGGGCGGACTATATTTTGGAAGAAATAATAGTGAACGAATTCCTATGCCCCACAAATAACCCAGAGATGCATTTTAAATAAAAGCACGCATTCTACTCATGTAAAAACATGCTGATTCCCGGACTGTCTGCTGGCTGGATTTAGAAGGCGATTGGGCCAGATCTTGCCCCCCATGCCTTAGTTTGCCTACTCATGGCATATTGCTTAATTCTGCTTCAGTTTAGATTTATAGATGGCCTTATTTGCAAATATTTGTGTTTTTAATTTTATTTTCTAATTTAATATGTGCTTTTCCTCCTTAACCCCTCTCTATTGGTTGGACATGATCAGCATCATGTTAAGGCTGGGGAGAAGAAACCCCAACGTATTTCTTAAACATTTGCATTTGATTTATAATACTTTGCCATTGGTTTTTCTGTTATGAAATGCGTAGCCGCGTCTGTTCCTAAACGCCTGTAAATGTCCAAACATTCTTTAGTACAGGTGAGATGAAGGGAATAATGCACTCTAATTTTATTTTCAGCAAAAGCAGCTTGAAATTGAAAGAACTACAAAATGGCTGAAGATGTTGAAAAGCTGGGAGAAATACAAGAACACAGAAAAGGTAAAGTTAAAGTGCTTCCACAGGCAGTTGCATTTACTGAATGCAACAGTATTAAATTGGATTCTGTGGTGCTGGGCTTTCATTTTTCTCTATCATAGCTTTCATTATAGCATTCATTTTAAACAACAAATGCACAAAGAGCCTCCCATTCAGCTAGTTTCCAAGAGCTTCATTGCTCTGGAAGTTAAGCCGCAGAAGAATAATTGCTTAGGAAGTACCAATTTTATAATTGTGCAGTAGGAATGGAGATGGCGAACACAAGCAGAAAGTTGTGAAGTTTCACTTAAATGTGTGCATGTTTTTTTTAAAAAAACCAATATTCACTGGTAACATCCAGCCTATTCTCTCTCTCTTGTGTGCACACAAATCCCTCCCTTGTGTGTTGATCGTCTCATGCTGCAAGATTCTGAAAGGCATCAATGCAAAAAGAATAATGTTTAAGGAAATACATATCCGTTACTGTACATCAGTGTTATAGCTCAGTTAGTAGACTATGATATTTTTAATCTCAGAGTCATTGCTTCAAGCCCCATGTTGGGCAAAAAAAATCCTTGCACTGCAGGGGGTTGGACTAGATTATTTACTTATTTGTTTATTTATTTGAATGTAATCCTGCTCGTGGGGGTTGCCTTGTTTTGATTTTATATAAGCCATTCTGGGAGCCTTTTTGGCTGAAGAGCGCGGAGCACAAATGCTCTAAATAAATAATAAATAATATGCAAATGCCTGAAGGAGTGCTACTACCCAACCCAATGCAGGCCAGTATTTTTCATATCTGCTGAGTGCCTCCGCCTTCAGAGATGAGGCAGGTGCCAACTAGGGCGTTTTTGGCTATGGTGCCCAGGTTATAGAGTAGTCTTCCCAGAGAGCCTCACTTGGCACCAACGTTTATGTCATAGGTGCCAGATGAAAACCTCTTTATTCACCCAGGCTTCTTAAGTACAATACATTTATAACAGCTTACCTGGGGGTTTTTTTTTGGTTTTTTTTTTGGTGTGTGTGTGTGTGTGTATTTATATATTTATATTTATTTATATTTATAGATGTAGATGTGGGGATTTGAACCCTGCCTTCCCCAGGTCATAGTCCAACCCTCTTAACTGTTACACCACACTGGCTCATGAACATTTACATGCTCAAAGGAAGCTTTCTAGCTATGGAACGTTGAGAGACAGTGAAGCTTCCATGGTAGGGTCTAAGGAGAAGGAGGAGCTTCACATCTAGCAGGAAATATAACCAGTTTGTCTGTAGGAAGTGGGTTGGAGGTGCTGAGGTTTGAGGGAAAGAGAAGAGCAGGAGAAGATGGTCTGGAAGGAAATCCAAGCGGGACAGAAGGGACTTACACTGTTGGGTAGAAATGTACAGGAAAGAAAGATTTGCAAGATGGGAGGGATACATAGCAATTTGCTCTTGGTCATATTTCTCTTTGCCAAAGGGCAGAATCCTGATTGATCATATTTGGGTAGAAAGCACTAAGAAATGGGCTTGGACCATCACTATGTTTAATGGTGTCCATCTAACAGGAATAACAGGGTTCCTGTAGATACAATGACATTCTTTCTTTCCTCTCCTAACTGCCCACAAACCAGTTATGTACAAGTGCAAAATTTGAGATCTCCAAACTCCTAATTTCCATGTTGGGCATGTTTTGGAACTACTTTCCTTTTAATAATCCCATTTTAAAAATAATAATTATTATTCTCCTACTACTACAGCAGCAATTGTATTAACTGGTACATGTTTTGTGTGCCGCATTGTTAAAGAACCTCAGAAACTAAGCACATTGCACCGATTTGTGATACAGCCCTTTCTCTCTGGAGGCTCTTGCTATAGAAAATGTTTTACTATTTAGCCTCCCTCCTCCCTCCCTCCCTTTGTTGGTCTTTTCTAAAGTTGGGAAGAGAAATGCTGGCAAAGGCATTTAAGGACATTGAAGTTGTTCTGTGGAATGTAAGGGAAGGAGACATTCACTATTCTTTCATTAGAATGGTCCCCAGTTTGGCAAAGTTTTTGAAAATGGATGATATGCCTTGTGCAGTCTTGGCCAAGCCTCGATCTTGACTTCAGCTTCCTATCTCTAAAATGGGCATAAGTTATTGCCTTGACTAGCAGCATTGTTTGGAGCACAAGGACAGCAAAAACCTCTAAAGCACTTCTCAAATCTTGTGTGCTGCATAATATATAAATTGTAGAGAGGGAAGTACTTGTTCAACACCCCACCTTCCTAACATGCACACACACACAAACCCCAACTCCAATAACCTGCAACCTTTCTTTAGTAGCATAGGGAATCAACACGTTTGCCTCTCTGTATGCTGCTTGACAGCCTTTCTTGACCTGGTGCTTTGAGTTTATGTGTTTGCATCTTAATTATATCCTGCAGCTGAGATAGGGCATATCAAGCCATCAATCACGGCAGGCATTAAAGCCTCCTTTGTCCTGGTGTGACCATAACTTTCAGAGTGCCTTGAATAAAAATGTCATTCACTGTATTCACATTCAAATGTCTTCTTTGCTGTGCCATCTGACTCGCTTGTTGATGGAGTAGCTATCTGACTGAGAGAAAAGAAATAAGGAAGCGTCAGGGAGGAGGGGGGAGAAACTGCCAGGCTTGAGGTAGCTGAAAATAATTTAGAGTTTATTGAGAGACTCTGTGTCAAATTGTCCCCTTGTTCCCCATTCCCCTGTCCATAGCTTCCAAAGAATAAATAAAAGCCTCTCTGAGATTCAGAAGGAGATAGCAACAAGGCTTCCTCTTGCTGTCCCATCTCTGATTCACACAGAAGTCAATGAATGAGGCTCCATATGGCGTGAAGCCTCCACGTGACTGTAGTAGCTATGGGTTCTAGCAGCTGCTACAGCCACTTGCAGATCACTTCTGTATATTTATTGTATTTAGATAACGCCATGTAACCAAGCTTACAACAAGAATCAAAATTAAAAATGGATCCAGCAAAATATATACAAACAATACAATAACAAGTGGCAAAGAGAACACTGATTAGCCCTTCCAACCCTCTCTGTGGGCAGTTTCCAGCTAACACATCATGTCAGTGCAAAGGAATTCTGCTTATGGAACAGAACTCCCTCCACCCATACATACCGATATCTGGAAGGTTGGGGGAAACCCCAGAACATATTTAGTGGGTGTAGGGGGTTAGAGGAGAGCTGTGGCACAAGTGGAAATCCTTGCAGTGATAGAACGAGTTAGTTGGATACTATTCTGTGTCTCCAACACCATTTTGCTTGCTTACTTTCCATATTGGTAGCACGTGGTTTAATCTTGGACCCCAGAGCAATTTCTGGTGCTTTGTTTCCTGTTAATTTATTTCAACTGTTAATTCCTGGTTATTTGAGTCCAGTAAGAAACCAGGTGCTCTGAAAAGAGAAAGGATGAAAGGAGAGAGGATGAGGGCTCTTTGCAGGTGGATGTAGCAGCTGGTTAAACCCTTAACTTCTACAGTCACCCTGAGATTTTTCTCCTTATGCTGAACAAGATCATGGTTCCTAAAAACTCAGGAAAATAAGAATACCTGTGAAGCTTCTTGTTTGTACAAGATAATGAAGCCCCAAAGGAATACACAGGGCTTTTTGTCCTTTTCATGAATGATTTGGAGGGATGGAGATGGCTGGGGAGATGTTTATCTCAGTCATTATGAAACATAAGAGTCTAATCCTTGATTTTTGAGCTCTGGAAGGCTTGCAGAAAAACATGGCTGCCAGTGCTAGCACAAGGGAAAAAATGCTTGAGAACCAGGTTCTCTTATTTTTGAAACTAAGCCTATATTATCGAATAGGTGCATTAAAATATTGGAGCATGATTCTGAATGTGACGATGAGAACATTATATAATTGAATGGTATCAAGCTATTGACAGAAATATTCCATTGCATGGTTGGGAATACTTGTGTAAAACTAGAAAGGCCTTCCATTTAAAAATACTTCTATATTTTGTTTGGCTTTCTATAATAAGCCTTTCCCCCCCTCCAATGGAGATGCCCAGAGCAGCCATCAATGAGTATAGAGGCATAACCAAAATAGTAAACAATATCCAGAAACAATTTAAAATAGGAACCACAGTATGCAAAGGAAAGATTTCTGAGATGAAAATTATTACAAAACGATGTTACGCTGCTGTTGTTGTTTCATGGTTGCTATTGGCAGAAAATGTGCCACTGTGGGGAGTTTACAGAACTAGATTACAGCCAGGTGTGCCCCACCAGTAATAGCCTGATAGAACCTCAAAGATTGGAGGCGGCAGCAGGAGCCACAACAGGAGAGGGTCATTACTTGCACACACTGCTTCTTCTGCAGTTTTCCAGAGCCATCTGGTTGGCAGCTGTGGGAAGCAGGAAGCTGCACAAGACTGACCTTTGGTCTGTTCCTGCAGGGCTCTTCTCCTCCTCTTCTTAAAAAATACCCTGAACATAGGAATCTGCCTTACACCAAGTCAGACCATTGATCCATCTAACTCAGTATTGTCTACCCAGACAGGCCATAACTGTGAAGGGCTTGAGGCTGCGGAGAATCCTATCCCCACCTGGAGATGCCAGGAATTCAACCTTCCGCATGCAGAACAGAGCTAAGCTCAGGGTGAGGCTGCCGCCACAGCTGGATTTCACCCTGCCTGTTTCCTTGTGATTGCATGGCCTTCATTTCGCTCCCATAAAGACATTTTTTTAAAAAAATCTCTTGTATCAGCTAAGCCAGTGCCAACAAAAGGGTATTTTTCTTCCTTCGAAGAATATACCCTCAATATTGGCAGCTTATAAGATTTTCTCTGTCTTTTCTGTGTCTCTGAAATCTGAGACAGGCAGTGGGAATCCTTAATCCAGTTTGGTTTTCCTTTTTTAAAGACAGAATCTGGTAACATCTGTCTGTAATAAAGGACTTCCTTTTTGGAGAACAAGATCAATTAGATCTAAGTGGCAGTAGCCTGCAGGAAAGTCTGGAAAATTTTGTAGCATGGCTCTGAAGGCGTCTTTTGACTGCTAGTACTGTCCCAACACTTTTCAGTAACATCTTTTCAGTAACAATTAATGTACATTTTCCATGCCTTTGATATGGTCCATTATTTTGTGACTTCGCTTCTCAATTGGAATTGGCTGGAAAGGCCACTCAAACTCGAGTGTTGTTACCATTTTTAAGTGTGCACCTGAAAGCAACCTGTAAGCACAACAAATCTGATTGCAAATGTAAAAGTATTTTTGTAAAGGAATCATCATCTGGCTGCAGCACTCTAAAGTAGACATGTGATGGCAAGTGATATTAGAGTTTCAAAAGAATTAACTCATCCCCCCCTCCAGTGCACACAATTGCATTCACTAACCGAGAATAGTCTCAAGGGTTGGGTGTGTGTGTGTCAGTCAGTGTAAAAAGCTCGGGATTTTAAATAGCAATAGGAAACACTTAGTTGTGGGTCTTATGGTGATTATGGAAAGTCAAGGTGTACATATTTATTTTCGTAAGCCACGTTTCTGGACCATCATCTTTACTTCCCATCATGTGGGAAAATGGTGTAACAGTGGCCTATCTCACAGGGTTGTTGTGAAGAAGTACACAGAATATAAAGCACTTTGCAAATTTATGATAAGAATCTAATTTGTCCAGTTCTTTGCCACATTTTTTCTTTTTAAAAATACCTTTGCTTTTTGTTCGTCACAATAACTTTTATTGCACGTTAGCTAAGCCTGATTCGGTTTTTCCCTTCAGAGAGAACTTAATGAACTGCTGTTTCTGAGAAACATTGTCCCACTCATCTAGTGCTGTGTAATCGGAGCAGATTTACCATTCTCACAGCTGGCATATTCCCACAAGGCCCGATACCCGCTTGGCCTGGAGTGCGCGGCAGCTGTTGATGCAGCTGTTTGCGCTGCGTCCCGCCATTTCCTCATTCTGCCTTGATCAATTATAATTGCATCAGACAGCAGTGATTCATCCGTTATATTTCATTTACCCTTCGTGTGCATGACAGATACTGCTGTTTCCTTATCCTGTTCACCCTTACAACCAGAAAGAGAATATCCACATTTTAGAAATTGGTGTCTGTGTGTAGTGATTTTCCTATGGCGGTCCTTTAGTCCATAGCTGAGTGCAGATGCTTACCTGGGTCAAAGATCCTGTTTTCTGGGCAGAGGACTGAGCAAACATGCCCACCCCATATTCATAACGGAATACGTGATGAAGATGTTTCGTGAGGATGCTTCTATGCACGAGGGCTGAATCAGAATTCTCCCTTCCTAATCACACAATTCTGACTTCTGTACAGAAGCATTACAAACATTTATGCGGAACACCCACCTCTGCCCTTACAGTCAGAGTGTAGCAATGTGTGAGAGTATATGAGAGCTACTCTCCCACGAGAAAAAGGATGTTGGGCCTTCATAAGCACCCAAACGGACCATATGTCTGAGCCGGCTTTTGAAGAAGCTAATCACAGTTTCCACAGCCAATGGGATAGAACTACATTCTGGTTGTCGCATTGTAAGTGACCAAGGGTAAAAGTGATGACCACATAATAGGAAATATTTCTAATACTTATTATCTACAATAATTTGGAACTTTAAGCATCCAGTTATTTTTTAATTTGTGTGTGTGGCTGTGAGAAAGGGTGTTGCTTTGAAGAATTTAATTTTCATTGCAAGGTTAAAAGTAACAGTCACGCCATGTAATGGAGTTGAACCGCAGCGCACTAGTCCCCCCCCCCCATGCAGTATTTGACATAGCAGCTAAAGGTTTATAACTGTGAAATCCTTTATGAGTTCATTTGATTTGTAAATTACAACGTGGAGCCAGGAGATTAAGTGTCTAATCAGTTATTGATTTTGTTTTAACCTTCCAGAACGTGGTGCTTTTGGTGAGACTCATCTCAGCTGAAACCCACAGCCAATTAGCCATATAGCTAGGTGTTCTATATCAGTATGCCTTTCAGGGCCAACTAGATGTTGCACAAGACATGCGTAAACAGCCTTCTGATTCTCTCTCTTTAAAAAAATTGATTAGATTCTTATGAGTTCAAGCAGAGGAATGGCAGGAGGGGGAAAGGTGTAAATGGTGAACAACTGTGGTTTCCCTCCAAATGCTTGCATTAGCTTCTATTTTGAATTTTGTACACAGTATTCTATGCAAACAGTTTTTGCATTGTAAAACAGCTGTAGGAATGATTTTGAAGTTGTGGCCATTCTTAGCATTGTACACGTGGGAACATTACTGCACAGGGGTAGTGGGGTGGATATTAGGACCCTTTAGGAAGGAAGGAGCAAGGAAGAAAGGAGTAGGCCACAATATGATGGAGCTGCGGAAAGTTAACACTGTGTCTTAAGTGTTGGGGTTGATGGTGTGTGTATATTTCTTATGCTGTACATGCGGCATCCATGGTGCAGTCTACATGCAAATCTAGTCTCCACTTTCTACACTTTAAAGAGGGGCTCCCAAACTGTGGTCCACCAGTGTCCGTGGCTTAAGACAGGAGAGGACACCTGTGTCAAATTAATCTGGCGTGGTGCATATACGGCTGTTTTTTCAATCCTGGCATCATGTCTTGTATTTCTGTTGCCACGTTTTGCACCATTGTCTTGGGAGACATCACATTGATCGCAGTTCAACTTGGTTTCATTTTGCCGCTGGCCATAACAATAGTAGCTGGTAAGTTATAAGTAGTGGTGACAGGTGACATATTGTGATTGGTGGTGATCAAGGCTCCGGTTTGACCATATATGTATATGTGACCCTATTGATTCTCCCCCCCAAAAATTGCTGTTTACACAAATAAAAGAAGTTTTGTTTTTTTAAGGAGCAAAATCAGTGGTCTTGTATGAGTGCTCAAACTGCAGCCAAAAAGGTCTGTTAGGGAGCACATCTGATTACCTTCTGTGAACCCACATGGCAGAGCAACTATTTCCCTTATAATTCCTCACATTACCCCTTCCTCCTTTTTTCAGATACTTTTCAGTGCATGGCACACCTACTGAATCAACAAAGAGAGAATATCATTGAAACTGTCATGCGCGTACACACAAACACAGGCCAGTTCTGTCTAAATTAATAATACCATTTACTTTGTTTCCAGGCTATAGGTCTTGGTATAGTTACCACGTCAAATCTTTTCTGGTTTACTTCTGCTTGATGTTGCTTATTTGTTTATTTACACAGTTTCATAGGAGAATATATAAAGGAATTCCACTGCAGCTGAGAGGTGAAGTCTGGTCTTTGTTGCTTGATGTCCCTAAAATGAAAGAAGAAATGAAAGACTATTATAATGTGAGTTTCTAAAAAATCAGAAATACTGTATTGTGCCCAAGTATTTGAAAATTAGACCGCAAAGTGCTTTAGTGTTCCATGATATGACTAATACAACAAATTGTATTATTATTTAATTAAAATCTAGTTTAGAAAGGACTAACTGCTTTCATAAAGATTGTTCCTATCCGTTTCATACCTCCAACTTTACTATCAGGTAGAATGATAACCTATATATAGCCTTCATGATTCCCTTTGCCTCAAAGGAGAAAAGGTTGATCAGCTTTTAATGAAAGCATTCATTGTGGAAGAAGTCAGTGACTAATTTCCATGGTTCTGGCACCAGTTTCTATATCCTTGTTTGTTGAATATGCGTCAGCGTTCAGGTTTCTTATTAGAAGCAAATATTTGAGTTCTCTGAAAATGTAGAATCCACACAGAGAACAATGGCTTGCAAATACTCTTGATTAGCACACTTAAAATGTCCGCTGCTCATGTCGCCCTTTAGATGGAACGGTTCAAAAGTTGAGAGGCATCCTATTAATAGGAACCTAACTACGTCCAGTTGTTTTCCAGGAAATGTCCCCATTTCTCAGCCTGCAACTGCACTACTCATAAACAGGATAGTCTTGTTCCTAGAAGCCATTGGGCGCTTTCTCTTTAGCAAGCTGTTTAACCTTTTCTGCCTCTGCTGTTTCCTCCCATGCTAAAGCATGCACACCCACTCCACTCTCTGAAGCTGGAAACAGACGTGATGTGGCAGAGCTATGATCAGGGCTCCTCTACCACCACGCTGCCAACTTTTAAGAAAAATGGGGGTGGTGGTAATTGGCAAGTTCTACCCAAGCTGATTCTAATCTAAGTCCTACTCTGATTTCCACTGCTCTTTGCCCTCCTTGAGGGAAAATGCAGAGGTGTTTCAGATGCTTGAATCTACCACCCCCCAACACAGCAGACCTAATACCATCTTTGGGGAATGGGATTTTTTTTTTATATTGGAAAAATAGAATAGGGAAAGGGTGGAACTCCTCTTCCTCCTAATGCCAGGGGTCCATTACTGCCCTCAGAAGGAGACCCTTTTGTGGTTGCTTTAAAGTAAAAACAAAGAATGTCACCACCACACAAAAGAAGCCTTTGGCCCATAGAAGGTGCGTTGGTTTTCCCTCAAAGCCCCCACCGATCCATCTAGCTCAGTGTCGTCTGCACTGCTGGCAATAGCTTTCCAGACAGGGGTCTTTACTAGCTACCTGCAGATGCTGGGAACTGAACCTGTGCATGTAGCTAGTATGCAATGGCCGCTTCCCTAAACCCAGTGCTCCCCCCCCAAAAAAAAATATTTAGGGGTATTCTCATTTTCCTACTCATATTGAAATACTGCCCCTCAATAAGACCAAGCTTAGATTCACAAAATGTTTAAGTGTATGTGTACCCCCCCCCGAAAAAAGCACTGCCTAAACCTAATCAGAGACCTCGTGTTATACCTGCTTGGGCTCCATGTCCTTGAAGCAAGCTTTTGAATCTAACAAAAATAGACCTTGTATATAAACTCCAGTTTCATTTCCCTAATACCCTGAAAGCCTTTCTGACAAGCTTCTGCCAGCTTTTAAGTCGTATGTGCTTGACTGACATGCTCCATACAGAAAAAGGTGTATAGTGGATGGGAGAATGGGCTGTACCACTTTAGATTAGATTGGGGACAGGAGATGTCACATATTGGAGTGTCCTCCCTTATGTTTAAAGCAAACAGACACAGCCTTCCTGCAAACAGCAGTCCAACCTGGTAGGTAGCAGGTTAGAATAGACTTTGTTTTTCTCAGACCTGATTTTATTTGAAGCTAGCATTTTAAAAAAGGCATTTTTTTACATCCTGAAATGGCACAATCCACTCTTACTTTCTTAGGAGTCTAGTATCTCCAGTCTTGCCAACCTGGTATCCTCCTACTGAAGGTTGTAGTGCAAAACATCTAGAGCTCGTCACATTGGTGAAGGGGTACTATCTCCTCTGCTTCATGTGTGTTATCTCTGGGCCAGCCAAGCTTTCAGTGTAATATGAATATATGACATAGATGTATAAATCCAGATTCAGGCTATAATCTAGTCACAGTTAAATCCTTCCAACTAAAATTAGTTGAACGTAAAAGTACTTAAAGCTTTTGCTTAACTTCCCCATTTAAATCAATTGGCTTCAGAAGTTCTTTGTCCGGATCCTGCCCTTTCTTCTTAGTTATGGGTCATGGTTGTCATCCTGTGTTCAGTTCATTGTAGCTTGTTAAGAAAGATCCAGTGGAACTATTCATCAAGATTCAGAAGAATTTGAAATGGCCTACAACTAATCTTAACGAAGATTACAAGTTAACTACAGGAAAAAAAACAAATAAAAAGGGTTTAAGAGAACCGGGCCTATCTTCAAAGGTTACAGATGCCATCTAGTGATGTGTGCAGGAAAAGAAAGAAAAAAGTCCACCAGGACATGAAAAACTCAAGTGTCTACATTTAAAGGAAAGGCTTGTGCAATTTATTTATTTTTTAAATCTTAAAACTGTTGAGAGGGAAATGGACCATTGCTGAAAGTCTTAGAATTCTTTAGGTATGAATTAATAACTGATCTACTGTTAGGGAAATATAATAATGAAGCTTTAGTTGACTTCAAATGTAGGGTTGGGTATGCAGGTGAACTATTGAAAGAGAACTGGTTTGCATTCCTATGTAGAAATTCTCCCAGCTGCATGCCCAGTCTAGAACATATGCATGAACTGTGCAGTTGCGATACATACACTTGCTGATTATTTTCTCCTTCCTCCCACAAGACCTTAAAAACCCAAGCAAGAGGTACCTCGCCAGATATCAGGCAGATTGACCTTGATGTAAATCGGACATACCGGGATCATATCATGTTTAGAGACCGATATGGAGTTAAGTAAGTAAAGCTAAAATCTACTTTTCTTATGTATTGCAGACCTTCAGAACACCTCCCCAAGATCTGGCATTTTGAAAAGCCTTCCTTTGCCATTATTGATTTGTGGAAACAGTGGCCACATTTGGACATTGTGCTAAACCAGGCGTGCTTCCCCTCATCTCCCCAACCCTTCTTCCCAGGCAAGGAACAGGAGGAATTGGAAAGCTTTTGTTTTCCCTTGATTGCAGCCGTCGGCAAACTGGTGTCTCCCCCCTACCCCATTTTTGGACTACAACTCCCATCAGCCCCAGCCAACAAGTGCTGACTGCAGCTGATGGGAGTTGTAGTCAAAAGCCTCTGAAGGGCGCCATGTTGGCCAGGGCTGCCTTACAGTGTACAGTATTAAGAACACATTTTATGGAGCACAATAATAAAAACATAATAAAGAGCACAAATGATAGCATAATAAAATAATAATCAAAACAACAGTCTCTCTCTCGCCTCCCCCCAAGTTTTAACAGGCCATAGATTATTAAATGGCCAAAGGCCTGGGTAAAGAGGAATGTTTTTGCTTGATGCCTGATGGCATGTAACGATGTCAAGCCTCTCTGGAGAGAGCATTCCATAGACGGGGAACCACCACAGAAAAGGCCACCCTTTTTGTTGCCACCCTTGAGGGGGGTGAGGGACATAGAGAAAGGCCTCAGATGACAAGCGCAGGATCTGGGTCAGTTTGTATGGGGAGAGGTGGTCCTTAAGGTATTGAGTTCCTGAGCCATGCAAAGTGTTATTGGTCAACACCAGCAGTTTGAATTGGGCCCGGAAACTAATTGGCATCTATCACCAAACTAGAGATTTTGATTCATTACTAACTATGGCTAGTTTTCAGCAAATCAGCTTCATTACTCATTGTTTTAGATTAACATGAGTTTCATGTGACATCTGAGGGAAGGGCCATTGAGATGGGCTGTGAAAGCGGTCTTCCGCTACTGCAGATAAATGTATGGAAATCCTATCCAACTGTCTGAATCTCCAAGCATCCTCTACTGTTTGTCTATTATTCATAAAAAACATTTTTATACCACGTGGTTGTGCACTTGGAAGTAAAATTGCAAGAGCATCATCTGGAGAGAGACTGGAAGCTTTTAAAATAAGGACGCTTTAAGAGAAACAAGATAGAACCTATGTTGCTAAAGCATTTCCCCAGATTTAATACATAAGAAGCTTGTGCATATGGGAGGGAAATGCCTCATGTAAGCTTGATCACAGGAGTAATTTAATCTCTCACCGAATATGTTTTCCCTTACTAAATCCTTTTCTGCATCCCATAGGAGAACGCGATGAACATGGTTTCCTAACATAATAATATATTCTTAGTTTAATATCTGTGAAACCGGTGGTTGAAGTGTAGTGTTCCATGTATCAGTGAGGGCCCTTGAATGCTCCTTTTCATTTCAAACTTGTGAAATCAGATTTAATGAAGTATTGATTCTACCCAGTTTTGAAAATGCCAAATGCCACGTCTGTATGAACCCAACAATCGGCTGGGATTGAAATGTTTCATCCCACATCCTCCTTGTTCTGCCTGACTGGAGTGCCTTTCCATGTATTCTTCGTCATCCTTCTAAAGCGGGTCTGTACTGGATGACACCCACCACTGCCCCACTCCACCCCCCACCCCCCAGCACAACACAATTGCACACAGCAGAATTATAATCTTTTTCCTGCTGTAAGGTATGCACTTAAATTTCCTGTGCGCTACAGTCACCTTGTGTTTTAATGCAAAGCAGAAACCCAACTCCATTGTCTATGACTAGTTACCAAAGAGGAGCTCTCCTCACTGCAACATTTTGTTGCACACCTAATTGCAATAATAATTGCACAAACTCCTTCCCTTCTGCAGAAGTCCTCCATTTCTTTGGCAGCCGTGGGGCTCTTTTAGAACTTTGGTTCAAATTAAGCTTGACATAAAATGGGGTTGTTGGAGGACTGGCTTGTTAGCCTTCGGATGTTTACAAATGTATTAAAGTGTGCAAGAATTTTACAAATATATATCATTTTACAAAGGTTACATAAATGTACAAAATGTGCTTCTTAAGTCCTGAAGGTGGTGAAGTTTTATATCATGATTCTTTAAGTATTTCATTAGTGTGCACAAAAAATGAGTTATAAAATTTACTTTTTGTCTTTTCTCTCTAGACAACAAGCTTTATTCCATGTTTTAGCTGCATATTCTGTGTATAATACGGTAAGTCACATAGTATGTGGGTGCATATTGATCTAGATTCATATACACACAGTTACAACGCTTATTCTTGATATACTGCATAGGTAATTTTATCTATCTATCTATCTATCTATCTATCTATCTGATCTAGTAAGCTGCGATGTGCACAGGTTGTGTGCATCTGTGAACAACAAGTTAATAGCTTCCAAACAAGTGAAATTTTATCCATGGTTTGGTTTCTAAATCCTTGCTTGCATGGAAAACACTAACCAGTGTTTCTAGCTCACATGTAACAGGAAGCTGTGGTTAGCTGTGTCTTCCTGGTCTGTTTTGCTACTCACACAAACAGAGAAAGTGATGCAGCTGTAAATGGATTGTGTGCGATTGCACACAGCTCATTTGTATCCTGGCTTATTAAGCGAATATTTGGTTGTATGAACATTACCACTGTAACCATAGCCACGGAAGCAGAATTTCTAAAGGGGAAGATGAAAAACTGAGGTTGTTGGATTGTAGTCAACGTGCTGCCTGCAAGTTGTGACTCAAAGAAGGTGCTACCAAAACTTTTGTTGCTGTAGTAATTTCTTTCTTTCTTTTTTGTCTAAAACCATGGAGATCAGAAACAAGCTTACAAGATCAGTAATAAAATATTGTATTTTATTAAGAGCCGCCAGTGTTAACAGAGCATAAGGAGCCAGTGAATCTGGTGTCAACGAAGAGGTTTTTTTTTTGCCTTGCTCCTTTGTTCTTCACGAAAGTGTAAAGCATCCCTTTCCACCTTTGGGGTTTTGTTTTCAAATTCCAGGGGAGTAATCTTTGCGGCAAAGCCAACTAACACTCTGATGGTGCCACAAAGCCCAACAGGTTTATTGTAGCATAACCTTTAATGAGGTCATCCACTTTATGTGCTGCTGAAAACCTGTTGGTCTCTGAGCGGAAATTCTTCGTTCGCAAATTGCGACACACACTTAACCTCTGGGATAGGGTAGGATAAAAATCTAAACGAGATAGGTTATTTTTCAGGTTACACGGAACTGGAATTCTTGCTCATGCTGGGTGAACATTTTCAAAAGGAGAGCCAGTGTGGTGTAGTGGTTAAGAGCGGTAGTCACGTAATCTGAGGAACCGGGTTCGCGTCTCCGCTCCTCCACCTGCAGCTGCTGGGTGACCTTGGGCCAGTCACACTTCTTTGAAGTCTCTCAGCCCCACTCACCTCACAGAGTGTTTGTTGTGGGGGAGGAAGGGAAAGGAGATTGTTAGCCGCTTTGAGACTCCTGAAGGGGAGTGAAAGACGGGGTATCAAATCCAAACTCTTCTTCTTCTTCTTCTCTGCCTTTTGCATGGTTGCATCCATTACTCTGCATCTGACCCACTGGCCTGTGGCTCCAGGAAGATGGTCCACAACAGAATGAGGCCCTCAGCAACACCACCACTTGTTCTGCCACACTTTTCAAGTGATCCACGTCACAAGAATCAAATTGACTATGTAATTTATGGCGTGTTTTTGTTGGGTTTTGTCACTGTTTGCAAATTCCTAAATGCTTGTCTACCTTTTCTCCTCCTAGGAAGTTGGATATTGTCAGGGAATGAGCCACATCACAGCTTTACTTCTTATGTACATGAATGAAGAAGATGCCTTCTGGGCCCTGGTGAAACTCTTCTCAGGACCCAAGCATGCTATGCATGGTATGTCACCCAAATCTTGCTTCAAAGCACCATTTAATTCTCATCTGATTTTTCAATTATTATTATGAAGTCTGGACTGGATTTGTAGTACAGCAAGCTGGGCCTTTTGGCTATTAATGTGCTCAAAATACTTAGAAAAAAATGTGTTGTTTTTTAACCAAGACTTTTTCTGCAGTCTATGATAGGTCTCTTAAAATGCTCTTTTAAGGTCATTTGTGATGATGTGCAGGGACTGTAACCCTGCACACGACCTTCTTTCTGTGGGCATGGAGCTGGCTGCACAGAAAGTTTTACCCTCATTTGAATCCATTATTGCAGCTGGAAATTGGGAGTGGAATTAAATTTCCAGTGTCTGCATACTCAGAGCAGGAATTTACCCTGTGGAGCAGCATTCTTCCCCGGCCATTTTCAACCTGGGGCAAGCAGTTTTTGCATTTAGGATAAAGGGCATGGTGATGCTTTAAACATGATTATGGGAAAGCAGCATATAAATAAATTTAATAATCAGTAACATAAGATCGTGGCAATCTCAAATGCTCAGCAACTCTTAATTCAGTCTCTCGCTCATTGTTGGCAACGTTGAGTTGTGCTTACTTGCACCATCTGACCACAGTGTGAACACGACATGCCTCCAACAAATCAGTCCTTGGATGGGAGAACCATGACCTTCTAGATATTAGGCTACAACTGCTATCAGCGCTAGCCACCATGGCCAATGATCTGGGATGATGAGAGTTAATGTCGTCTGGAGAGCCATAAGTTCCCCATCCTTAGTCTGTCTCCTTAATCGGATTGGTTCACACCTTGTACTTATTTGCCTGCTGTGTGCAGCTATTCAAGCTCAACAACTATGGCTCCCTCAAAAAAGCTCTCTGGTGAAGTCTCCTCCCCAAAAAAGTCAACAGCTTTGGTCAATCCAATGGGTAGATCACTGCCAGTTTATTTATAGTGGGAGTAGATCACAGTCTCTTGGAAGTTGGACACCCCTGAAGTACAGCATCAGACCATGGTTTGATATTACAGGAACAGACCCAGGCTTACGTGTTCTTCCTCCCCTAGCTGGCATAGTTTTACCCAACAGCAAACCATGGTTTGCTGCAAACTGCAGTTGGGAGCTTCTAACCTTTGCACAACAGGGAAAACGAGAGTGCATCAGTCTGGGTTTGCAATGCCAAATCACACTTTTGGTGTTGCTTCTCAAAGCCCCTGTGCAAAGTCTGCTGCCTTTTCTGTATGCCTTACCAGCTTTCACACATCTGATGAAATGGGCTCTTGGTCATCTATGGTTACGTCACAATGAGTAAATTAATCTTTAATACGCCACGAGACATTGCATTGTATTTTAATGTTTAAGTGATTTCCGCCCCCATCGGAATTATTTCACCGCAACACTTAAACCTGTGAACATGTTTTTTTGTGGGAATTTGTTAGTGTTCAACATGTTTTTATTCTCTCTTATTCTCTCTTCCCCTCACCACCCCAACCTTTTAGGTTTTTATATTCCTGGTTTTCCCAAGCTGTTGAGATTTCAAGAGCATCATGAGAAAATAATGAAGAAATTTTTGTCTAAGCTTAAGCAGCATTTTGTAAGTAAATGCCATCAGAATATGCAGTACATAAAGGGCAACCCATCAGCAAAAGGTCCAATATGATATTTAATTCTTCCCTGCCTGCTTATGCTGGTGTGTAGGGAATTTATAGAACTACTTTATGCCAAATCAGGCCATTGTTCTGTTGCTGTTTTCTGTATCTACTTTGCTGAACAGTGGTTCTGTCACAGACAGAGATCTTTCCCAGTCCTGCCACTGAAAGCCAGTTTAACCTGAAATACTTTTAAAGTGATACAAGGGATTGAACTTGGAACCTTCTCCATGCGAAACATGGGCAGGGGGTGTGCAAAGATCTGGGGGCAGTTGTGCTGTGGTATGATTCTAACTAAGCCTGTAATGATATGTAGATTATAAATATTTTAGGTCGATTAATTCTGCATAAGCAATATGTGATAATAGTATATAGTCCTGAAAAGCAAGGGGGGGGCACTTCTCAAGCCAGGGATGGGGAAACAAACCCCCAACATGTCTATTCACTAGCCATAGTTGGGGTCCATACGGTTGGCATCTTTGTGAAAATCCGGACACAGAAGTAGTTGAGCTTTTTTTCGCAAACATACAAAAAAAGAAGAAGTTTTCAAGCTAATTTTAAGGAATATTGCCAAAAATGATACTGCCAACATGGGTCCCGGATTTTCCCAGACCTTTTTGTGATTTCCACCCTGGCATTGCTTTCGACTGCAGTATTCCAGCTATGGCAACCTTTGGACCCATCAATATCTGTAGAGCCACAAATTCCCCGCTCCTGTCCTATGCTTTTTAATGGGAAAGTACAGCAAGGATAGGAAGTTTAGAGTACTCCATGGAATCCCATATCTCCCCTCCCATGCCAAGGGGATTCCCACCCTTACACTCTTTCCATTTCAGAGCTATCACTAGTAAGTGTTACATCTGCACCAATGTTACCTCTATAATCCTAGCTCTTGTCAAACCACTGTTTGCAGTCCATCTTAGAAGCAGGCTTTCAAGTTCCAGTTTGGCCCAACTATGCTTAGCGCTAACATCAATACAGTGGTACCTCTGGATGCGAACAGGATCCGTTCCGGAGCCCTGTTCGCATCCTGAAGCGAACGCAACACGTGTGTGTGCGGGTTGCAATTCGCCGCTTCTGTGCATGCGCGTGGTGTCAATTTGAGCATTGCGCATGCGGGAGCGGTGAAACCTGAAGTAACACACTCCGTTACTTCCGGGTCGCCGCGGAGCGCAACCCGAAAACTCTCATCTTGTAGCATATTCAACCCAAGGTATGACTGTAATGCTAACCAGAGTATGCTCAAAAACTAAAAGGGGGGTGGGAAATTGAATGTCTTCATAAAGGGGTATATTTGTAATGATATTTGCAACGGTTGCTCTCACTGTCTCCTAGCGCTGGTTAGGAGATTGAGCAGTGCTACATCTGAACCTCACAATATTTTCCCCAAGAAACCTATGGGGTTTTTGACTTGTTTTATTTTTTTATTTTCAAAACATTTCATTGAGACATCCCAAGCATCTGCATTCGAAATTCTCAGAAAGATACAGGAAGGGAAACTTGATAATGCCTGCCATAGCTATTCATCTGACTTTATGAACCCAACATATAAACAAGTTTTTTAAAAAGGGAAATATACATATAAAGAAACAAAGAATCATAGAATTGTAGAGTTGGAAGTTAGAAGAGGAAGAGGAAGAAGAGTTTGGATTTGATATCCCGCCTTTCACTCCCCTTCAGGAGTCTCAAAGTGGCTAACATTCTCCTTTCCCTTCCTCCCCCACAACAAACACTCTGTGAGGTGAGTGGGGCTGAGAGACTTCAGAGAAGTGTGACTGGCCCAAGGTCACCAAGCAGCTGCATTTGGAGGAGCGGAGACGCGAACCCAGTTCCCCAGATTACGAGACTACCGCTCTTAACCATTACACCACACTGGTTCTCCAGGCATCATCTAGTCCAACCTCCAGTCCAACCTGGAGGTACCTCCAGGCATCATCTAGTTCAACCCCTGCAATGCAGGAATCTCAGCTAAAGCATCCATGACAGATGGTCATCAAACAGTAACCAGTAATCTTCTGTAGCTTGATCAGGATGAATATAGCACTTTTATGCATTAACAGGTGTCAAAAACAAATTGGTTGTAGTATTTCCACATCTATAGATAGATGATAGATAGATAGATAGATAGATAGATAGATAGAAGATAGATAGAATATTATTTCAGTGCAGAGAAAGGAAGAGATGTAATGGTGAACCAGGCTTAAGGATACAACCTTGAGTAACTGGATGTGCCCCTTATATGAAGGTCTCTACTTCTGTGCACATTCACGCACAAAGTACTTTTTATTTCAGTGAAGACTCACTATATTTCCAAATGCATAAAAGCTTCCAGCCTTTCATATATATTTTTGTCCATTGTGCTGGAAGCTTATGAAACATGAAGCATATTCCTGCTAGGAAGTATAGTACATTTAGTTTCTTTTTCAGGGTGTTTGATATTAACTCTCTGATCAGATCTAAAATTGCTAGAGACAGGATCAACAGCAGCCTTAGGTTGTGGACTTGAGCACATTTATAAGAAAGGAAAGTTCCTGCTGAATGCAGACGGACTTCATTCCTACTCTTTAATCTTTGATATCTGCAGCAAATGTTCTAAACGTAGTGAGTCACCTCATGTATGCCATATTGGTTTTCCAAAATCTGTTCATGGGTAAGGGAGAGTTTTAAAAAGGATTATTTAAATCTACTGGCTGGTGAAAACCGAAATCACATTCATGCTTACCTCTAGGCTGTAAATTGTGGTTTTAATTTTCACAGCAGAGTTCACACAGAGTTTGGACTCTAGGTCGTTGCTGCTTATTGCTTTAATTTTGGAGGAGTTTGCCTTCCAGGGGAGGAAACATCAAGTGCATCTTGCCTTGAGTCAGTAGGCTTCCTCGTCTGGGTGTCTGAAGGTTCAGGGAGGCTACTTCTAATAAATGAAAGTAAACAGCAAGCTGCTAAATCTGTAAAGCGAGGGAGGCACAACCACTTTTTTTAAATTTGGAGAGTCAAAAGTTTGGTGTGTTTATGTAGATAATTCTTAACAGCTCCTTAAGTCTCTCTGTCAGGCTAAGAAATCCCAGTGGAGCCTCTTTTATTGTTGGGATGCTACGGTGAAGGGATACTTATTTGTAGAGCTGTTTCTGCCTCCTCCATGGTGTCTGCTACTTCCTCCCACTGCACCTTATTCCCAGGCTAGTGTGCTGTTCCATTCATGCTTCTCAGTGTCCCAGGAGCTCCATGCAGTTAGATCACACAGCTGCCACTTCCGCCTCTGCCCATTCAATCTCAGCAGGAAGAGGGGTTGGCAAGGGCAAGCCTCTGTTGCACCCTGCTGCGTTTGAGCACACTGGGCTTTCTGACCAGCTTCAAGCAATTTCCACAGCTTCCCAAGAGCTGCACTTACAAACAGCAGCAAAAACCCGCCCTGCAGACGCACAACATACAAACCCAACTTTCAAACCATAATTTCCAAGTCCTGTTAATGAGATCTGCAGTTGGCACGCACTCCTTGGCTCAGCTTTCTCAGACCCACCAAAAGTCTTGGGCCACGTCTCCCATCAACCCCAGCTGGCATAGCCAGTGGTAGGGGGTTGATGGGAGTTGTAGTTGAAAACATGGGGTGCACCAGGCTGCTGTGACTAAACTATGGGCAAGAATGACAGGGTCTGGGAAAGGGGAATTGGCCTTAGAGAATGAAGGGAGTTATGTCCCAGGGCTTGGTTCCTGGTTTGCCATAGTGCGGGGGGTAGGAAACTACTTGCTATGCTGCCTCTGCATGAAAGAGGCATTCTGTACATGCTCAGGTATGCTGTATTCCTTCACCCCTTTCTTTAGAGGAGAAGCATGGCCAAAATTGGTGAACTGGATCAAACTTTTCATAGAGGGGTATGGCCACAAGAGGTTTTCTCTCCTTATGCCAGGTGGATCAGGCTTTGTGCCTAAATGACTGCTTATATGCAACCCTGAAGCTTCAGAGTAAGGCAATCTCCCCCTATGGAATCATATTCCAGAAAGTGGGGCATTGCAGTAAGTAGAGAATGCCTAGGCACACATTTTAACCGTGCCACAGGAACCTTTCTTCTAAGCTCTTCCCAGCAAACCAAAGTGATCGTACAGGGAGAGGTATTTTTAAAAGTACACATGACCCAAACCCTTCATTCTTCACAATCACCCTCTTCCATGTTTAACCTCTTTGGATTTCTTTTGTCCACGGAGGGGAAGACAGAATGCATAGGAAAGCAGTCAGGTTTCAGGCTGAAGATACTTTGGCCATTTCACTTTGGGTTTGCAGTCCAGGAGTTCATGCTGTCTTAGTTGCCAATGTTTATGCTGTGTGCTTAGCAAGGAAAATCTGTTTTTGTATGTGCTGTCTTTTTTCTTTTAATTTTTTTTAATTACCTTGTTTGTAGGGAATTTTTTTTAATGGGCTGAAATATAAATTCAATAACACTAACCACTTGGCCACTTTGCATGATGCTGTGTTCGTATCTGAAGTTCATAAAACTGCTTCTTCTTGGCAGGACTCCCAGGAAGTCAACACTACGTTTTACACAATGAAATGGTTTTTCCAGTGTTTCCTTGACCGTGTGAGTGCCCTTTGATGCCTTCCCCACCCCAATCATCCCAAGCACACATTTTAACGGCAAATTTGGATTTCTGTTATTTTTCTGATGCCTCCCATGGCTTCTCTCATTGCAGACTCCCTTTACGTTAACCCTCAGGATCTGGGATATCTACATACTTGAAGGAGAACGGGTTCTCACTGCGATGTCTTATACCATTTTGAAACTGCACAGAAGTAAGATCTCTGTCCTGGCTTTAAACTCTTTAACTCGCCATATGGCATGGACAGGCACTTGTGAATAAAATGAATAAATTAAAAACCAAACATTTTTCTCAGTTGGGTATTTCTCAGTACTATTTATTTATTTATTTATTTATTTATTTATTTATTTATTTATTATATTTCTTATATTTGTTCATCACTTTATCTTGCCCAGGGCAACCCACAGTAACTTACAACCTACCAAGCCGTTGATGTTCTCTCCCCGCCCAGCACTTCTGGGGAGAGAGATGCTTGTGGATGCTTATTTCACACTGTCTCCAAAGCCACCACAGCTTCACTGTTGGGAAGATTCTAATAACTAGAAATAAGTTGCAAAAGATGTGGCTATAATATGCACAATAAATCTGGTGGCACGGTATACTTCCCAGCCAACAGGAATATAGACGCTGGTCAGAAGGGCTCTACTCAAAAGTACAATTTCCTGAGGAGATTAAAGCACAGCAATGAGCGGAGTCTTTTTGGTGACAGCCCCAAGGCTTTGAAATGAGCATTCTCTGTAGGTCCTTTGCTGGGCCTCCTTGTTAACTTTAGGAGACTCTGTGAAGCCCACCTTTTAAAGCAAGCCTTTGTTGGCTGATGCTCCTGGTGCTTCTTATGGCTATGATGGCAATGTTTCAGTTACGTTGAGTATTCGTTGATATGCTGCCGTTTTAGCGGGGTTATTTTTGTCAGACGTTTCTGCAACCTGTTTCAGTCTCTGAGAGAGGCAGGACTGAAATGGTCTAAATAAATGGAGGGGCTAACAGGAAAGCATAAGGGCACAGTGCTCACTCCCAACAACGACGCTACTTTCCATGGCTACTTCCATGCTTCTGCCTCCCTCTTGATTTTCAGTACCCTGTGATCTGCCCCCATTTCTGTCTGCATATACCACCTGTGCTTGTTGTTAGAGAGAGCAATGTTAGGGGATCGGCTTGATATATGGCAGCCTTATGTTTCTGTAAAGTTCTAGAATTACACTAGGTGCTTGTTTAATTAATAGATACGAATTGACAGAGAGAGAGATTTCTGTTTCAATAGAGAAAGCAAATATGGCTACATTTTAGTCTACTCTCTGATGTTGTACTCTTCTCCCCCTCCCAACCTAGAACACCTGATGAAATTGCAAATGGAAGAACTCGTGCAATTTCTTCAGGAGACCCTCGCCAAAGATTTCTTCTTTGAAGATGACTTCGTAATAGATCAGCTCCAGAGTTCCATGGCGGAGCTGAAACGAGCAAAGTTGGACCTGCCAGCAGCAGGTGAGTAACTCAAGACACAGCCGCTGCTTTGGAAGCAAGCAGCCCGTTTTAGTTGGTTTGTGGGTCCACCCAGCTTTTGTCACTCTGCCCGGCCAAAGCACCACCTCGAATGGAGCTGCGTAACTATGGCACGGTGCAGGAAATTCACAATTTGGTATCCTGTTCCTGGAAATCCTGATCATTTCCCCAAAAGGTATGCCCACTTCTATCATGCTCCTAATCTGGAAGTGTAACAAAAGTCCCTGCAAGGAGCAGGTAACATTGTTCTCCTGGTGCACAGCTATGCCCACAGCAGGAAGTTGGCCAAGTATTGCGCATCCTGAAGGCAGTGCCTGACCAGGGTCAGGAGATCAGTGTTTGGATGAACAGATGAGTTTTACAAGCAATCCATTCTGCAGAAAGGTACATGTGGGTCAGGCTCATTGTCCCATCCTGGAGAGCACAGGAGGTAAACTTGCAGCCTTTTAGTTAGCAGGAAGGCAACATCGTTAAAATGCTGGTCTTGTGTTCATGCCTTAGCATGCGGCCCCGGAAAACAATTTTCGCCTCTGAGTGTGAACAACGATCAGAGATGCTCTTCTCTAGACCTATCAATCATTGCAGAAAGAGGGGAGGGCTGGGAGGGAGGTTTCCTGGACTGTTTGCCCCCCCCACACACACACCCAGCATTCATAAGAATGTCTGTGCTGTTTAATGGATAAGTGGGTTTTTGTGAGCTGAGAAAGGAAATTGAATTTTACCCTCCACTATTGAGAGGGTCCTTCAGGATTTCTGCCAGTTTAGTGTAACATGAGAGAGTGAGCAGAAAAGTCAGGCACTAGCTCTTCCTGAGGAAGATGGGGAGGAAATCGTAGAGGATGTCTGTTGAAACTGTCAGGCTTTTAATGTTCTTAACATTGCAGGGGTTGGACTAGAGGACCCTCGGGCTCCCTTCCAATTCCACAATTCTATTAACATTCTGAACAATGAGACTGTAGATCACCATTGCTATGGGCTGCTCTGTTTTCAGCCTCTTTCCTAAGTATTCCTAACACTCTAGATTTATTTCAGACAGAGTTAAGTATTTATGCTTCCGGTGAAAATTTGACTACAATCCCAAGATCTCTTTCCAAAGTAATTAGTCAATTCACACTGTGTGTGTGTGTGTGTGGTGTCCTCAAAGCTGCACATCATTTTAGGCATGTCCCAGTTTTGAACCTTATGCGACCCATTTTTTAAAAACCTCTTTTTCTATTCTGAAAGTTCTCTATTTGTCCCTATTTCTTTTAACCACCTGGCATTATGTGCAAAATGTACCATTTTCTGATCGCTGTGGCTTTTGCCTTATTTTCTCTCTGCTAGGCCAATAGTAGCCTGGACAGGAAGGGGGGCGGGGAGGAGTGGAAACTGACAGCACTGAACCAGAGGCTTTGAATGTGGAGTTATTGCAAGCGCTACTGAAAATATTGAATCTTATAATTTATTCCTTTTGCAAACTGAGGCCTGTAAGAAATTAGGGATGGGGAGGAGAAACTCCACCTGTTTTCCACCCCTCAACTTTGCCTTCCTCCCCACACTTATGAGATGGTTGAATACAGGTGCTGCCCAAGGCACCTACGGAGTGCTGGCTTCCATGGAGGAAAATTGGAGTTTGGGGCTCCTCCCCTTCCTGCCCAGCCCAGCCCTGCTCATCATATTGGGAGACTGGGGCTCAGTCAGTCTCCAGCTCACAGCTTAGCATCAGGAATTGGCTAGAGAAGAGGAATGCGGAGGAAGTTCTGGTCCCAGCTGGTGAAGGATAGCACCAACATTGTGCTGCTCTCTGCTTCCAAGGACATTCCCCCAAGGCATGCAGGATTCTGATTCCCCATTATTTGTCTGTGGATATAATGGTGACTCTTCTATTGATAGACATCCATACTGTCTCCCCTCCTCTTTGGGCCTCAGGGATGGATGCCCACACACGGGCATTCCACTTGGGGCCGCCGGGGGGGGGGTATTTTTTCAACCCCCAAATGGGGGTTTTCTTTGTGCCTAAGTACCCACAAGATACGTCTTGAAAATCTGTCAGATTTGTTTTCAGTTCCTGTTTAGCTAAGAAAATGGATGCCTCATTTGCTCTTCATCTGAATTTCATCAGCCCTTGAGTCTTATCTCCCCACTCCGTGTTCAATTCTTGTTTTTCTAATCACTATCTCCAGGCGATGCTATCTGTCACCAACCTCGCTCTCAGCGTCTTCTAGACATTACCTCACTCTTGCATGCCCCGTCTGTCTCTAGTTCTGCAAATGTGCAGGGGGCAGGCAGCTTCCTCCCCAGGCAAGCACAGGGTTGATCCTGTCTCATGTGAGCTCAATGAAGGGCACTGGCTGCCAGCTAAGGCTTCCTTTTGCACCTCCACATCAAGGTCAGCCAGTTTGGGAGGGAGAATAACAGGGCCACATCAACACAGAGAAGCAGCACCAAAACTGAGAGAGCCATTAGGAATCATTGGGGCAAGGTCCCCTTTTGGCTTTGGAATAAATCATTTCGCTCTGTCTTGCTTCCAAAGTAGACCCACAATGTCCAGATATAATCCTTGGTTATTTCATTCCCATCATGGACAGATTGCAGTGTCCAGGGCATGACATTGCAAGTTGAAATGAAAGCTGCCTTGTAGGACTTGGAAGCTGAGAGGGGCAGGGCTGTTTGCCCCGAGTGATGTGTGTCCGAATTCCTTACAGGCTATTGAATGGAGGGGTGAAGGGGCTTATTCTTGTTTGCTTGGCAGGGAAAGAGAACACTCAGCTTCTTTTCTGCATGTGACCTTGAGCCAGCTGCTCTCTCATTCTCTCTCAGCCCAGTCTACTTCACAGGGTTGTTCTGATGATAAAATGTAGGGGTGGGGGGAAACCCTGTGAGCTTCCTTGTTAGGAAGGGCAGGATAGAAATGAAGTCAAATGAGTACAAAAAGGCTAGGGCAGCTACAATGAAGAGGGGATGGAAACTCCCTTCTGACCAGCTGGGAGAGTTAGTGAGATAAACCTTTCCCGGAATCTAAATATAAACTCCTGGATTTTCTACAGAAAGCTTATAGGGAAAAGGTAGAAAACACGAACTACTACTTATAGTACCAATCATGAGAACTCCAAAGTTTTCATTACTATGAGTTATCAGGAGAGCCTCCGGCTCACATCATCTCTGACAATGGGCACTTGCTGGCTGGAGCTGTTGGAAGTTAATTGCTAGGCCAGCAAGATGTGGCGGGTTAAAGGTTCCTCCTCTGTGCTCTAGTGCAGTGTTTCCCAACCTTGTGCCTCCAGCTGTTTTTGAACTACAACTCCCATCATCCCTGACTAGCAAGACCAGTGGCAAGGGATGATGGGAATTGTAGTCCAAAAACAGCTGGAGGCACAAGGTTGGGAAACACTGCTCTAGTGCTCAGGGTGGCCTGGACTGTTTGATGCATGTCATCCTCACAACATCCCTGTTATGCAGGTTGTGCTAGGAGTGGAATACGCACCTTCAACTGAATCCTTTTAGGCTGCAGTGAACACTTTGGGACTTACTCCCAGGGTAAAGATAAATAGGCTTGTGCTTTAAGATTACAGCTGGTGAGGAATGCCATCTTCTGCTTCATACTTGTGCCCTAAGCTGCAGTTGCCCCTTATGCCACCGAGTCAGACCATAGACCTATCTAACTCAGTATTGTTTGCACTGACTGGCAGCAGCTCTCCATGGTTTCTCTCGGCTCTAACTGGAGATGCCAGGAATTGAACCGCGGACCTCCTGCATTTGCAAAGCAGATCCTCTACTACTTCCCTTTCCCTGTAATAATGAAATAGTTATTGGCAGCTTGCAATTCTAGCCATGCTGTTAATTTAGGTCCCTCCCATATGGGAACATCCGAGCACTAATTAGGCTTGGTGGAATTCTCCATCTGGCAAGCCTTGTTTAGGGTGCTAACAGCTTTCCAGAGCTGTTTGGGCAGACTTTGGTCTGTTGTCAAAGACATAACTTTGCACAGCATTGAAAACATGGCAGTCCATCTGGAAGGGAATTTGTAGTGTGCACTCTTCCCTGTTTTCTTCTAAACTCTCCTTCAGAATGAGATGGACTGGGCAATCTTAAGGCTTGTGCTGATTACCAGTTTGCTTTGGGCTTTTTCTTTCCTTCAGAAGATGGTCGAAAAACACTTAATTCCTCAGTCAAAGCATTTGTGTTCCAGGACCATGGCCAGATATAGTTCCTTCACACCCTATTCTACCCCAGGAAAACTGTAACACCCAGAGAAAAGGCTGTTTTTGCAAAAGGAAGATCTTCTGATGGTCCTTCCTATCAAGCACAGAATGTCTTCTGTGGAGCAGATGGGGGAAGAAGAAAGGGTACAGAACTTCATAAATTGCCCGATCACAGCTTTTTCCTTCTCTCTGAAATGTATCAGGCTGTAATGGAATTGCCAGGAAGCCTTCCAGTGATTCTTCTCTCCCAGGATCCTTTTATCACATCTAGTGGGTCTCTGGTTATTTTTCACAGATCAAGGACCTCAGAAGGCTCTTTAATTTTAGCTCATCTGTGAATTTTTCACAAACTTTCTGACTCCTTCCCCAGTGCCCCTGATAAGGCTTCTGCATTTCCTTAGAACTTAACGTGCATTAAGAGCTTCTGAACAAAAAAAAATGTTGCCCGTTACACAAGTAGGCACCATCTCCTTCAAAAAGTAGAAGCCATGAATGGTGCTGCAGAGATATTATTTCGTTAACTGGCCATGTCGCCATTAATCCAGTTTGACTCTGAAAGATGACTGGCAATCCTAACTTGTTGGTGTGAACAAAGGGTCTGTTGTGCCTCCATGTGCACCAGCCTTCCCAAGTCTGGTTACCTCCAGATATTCTGCATTACAACTCCCATCAGTCTGAGCCAGTGGGGCTGATGGGAATTGTAGTCCAGAATATCTGGAGGCTACTGGGTTGGGGAAAGATTGTGTGCCCATTGCCTTTCCATTAAGAAGGGGAGTTAAGTGTGCAGCCTTCTTTCAGAAT